TATACCCTATCCTAGAGTAAACTGCTTGAAAACCATACCCTTCACAGCGGCACATACCTGTATAGCCCATTTATGGCAGTGCCCCCCCGGGGTATTTTCTCCGGACGCGCACTAGGGGCTGATAGTGTCTCTCCGCGGACGAACACAATCGCGTCACGTGATCAATTTAAACAAATAAGAATCGGAGAAAATTTAGTGATTTATAACGCGTGATAGTTGACGAGGGTGCAGCCCGCGCGAGCTGTCAACCATCACGCATAGAAATTAAGGGCGACTAATCTAATTGTTTTAGTATAGTCCTACTAGTCGTTCAAAAATTTAATCTAGATCTTCTTCAAAGACACTTTGAAAACACAAAAAAGCGGCTACGCTACTCACCATCTACAACAGAATAGATAGTGAGTAGCATAGCCAATCAGAGAACGGCATTCGTGATAGAACGCTTGTAGATTTATACTAAAACTCGATAGAAACGCGGTACATGACGTTGATTTTTTGCGTATGACCACTGTGACGCTACATGTTGCCAAGTGTAAATTCCTTTACAGCATTCTCATGCTAAAATTCAACGTCCACAAGTAACTGCGAGCTGAGACTCGCCCCAGATTTCTTCTAGTTTGTAAATTAAAGAGGGGTATGGAGCCGTTCATGTTCACTTAGGGATTAGCATGCAGAAAAGGCGGATTGGCGGACTAGGTGCAAGCCCGCTAATCCGCCTGTTCTGCAAGCTACTCGAGGATCAGAGTCCAATTTAGCTTAGAATAATCGATTTCCCAGAAAAGCTCATAATCAGTTCCCTAGTGATGACAGGGGCAACTTTGAATCATCTGCATTTACAAACGTTTTTTTTTTTTTTGCTCACTTTATGGCGCATTGTGATCTGTTCAAGTGTTTATTGGTGGAGAAAGTGTAGGATATACCGTTCTGCGACCGACCAGGAGGACACAGGAATTCCTATTTTAAAGAGGAGTGGGTGCTCGTCGGAAAATGTAAATTGGACCCCCTAAAGAAAACCAAGTCGGGTGACTAAAGCTTTATTTGACAACCAAAAGGTAGCACACGAGAGCCGTTACTTTGGAACGTTATTGTAATAGTCAAAGTAACTCCCTTGTTTTGCAGTCCACGATTTGGCTATGTTCTCAACTTACCTATCTGACGCTTCGTGGCATTAGCTTTAAGAG